AGAGAATTGGCCATCTGCAAGGATGTTGCCCAGGGGATACTCTGTTGTTTTGATGTTTTATCATCCTTGTGGGAGGCTTCTCTCATGTCCCCACATGGAGAGCTGGAGCTGACAGAAGGAGCTCATCCACGCTCTCCCTGGATTCGATTCTCCGACCTGTCGGTCTTCAGTCCTGCTGGCACAAGGGTTGAACACATTGCACCACCAAAGGCTCCTTGTAGTTTGATGAAGCACCAGCACTTTGGATGATAAAGCTATACCTTGCAAAACCACAACTCCCAAAATTCCATAGCATCTAGCCACGATACTGAAAGTTGTATCAAACTGCATTAATTCCACATTAATTATTATGTACCCCCCCCCCCCCCCCCCCCAAGCAGGCCTACCTAACCTGTTCTAACTATGATTTTTCAAATCATATTCTGTGCTTCTGGTGTTTCAACTTTTGTCTTGGTTATTTTAATATGTCTATGTTTTGAGATATATATTTATGGTTGCATTTGTTTTAATATGTGATTTTACAGATACATTTGATAATGTTGTGCCATGCCTTGAGCCAAAAGGAGAGGCAGGTAATAAATAAAAACTTATTATTATTATTATTATTATTATTATTATTATTATTATTATTGGCACTTTTCCATGTCAGAAGGGCAGTGAATCCATTCCGAGTTTTGATCCTAATCTTGAATGACTTTATCCAAGGCCTCGAACCTATTTGAAGGTAAAAGATCAAGACTTGGAAAGGAACTTTCTGTGATGCTGCTGCTGCTGCTGCTGTTGTTGTTGTTGTTGTTGTTGTTGTCATTATTATTATTATTATTATTATTATTATTATTATTATTAGAAACACAACAAGATGAGTCCACAACAAACAAGATCAGTCTGCTGGCTGTTGTCTTGGATCACACTTCAGACACTTCCCAAGTGTCTGTATCGGCGAATAATGCATGCAGATCCAAGTAGGGTGGCCTTTTGCAGCTGACAGATGGTAATTTTGTCAGTGCTGATTGTGCTTAAGTGCAGGCCAAGGTCTTTAGACACTGCACCCAGTGTGCCCATCACCACTGGAACCAACTTGACTGGCTTGTGCCAGAAACTTTGCAGTTCGATCTTTAAATCCTCATACAGTGTCAACTTTTCCAGTTGTTATAATAATTATAATTATAATTATGCTGAACTCAATTAGGTCCAGGCATACCGCTGAGAGCCATAAAAACCGGAATGGATTCTCTGCCCCACTGGCATGGAATAGGCCTCAAATTCTTCAATAGGGTTTCCCATTTCTCCAGTTTGGAAGGAGGTTTTAATATACGGTACATTTTATTTAATGCACCAAAGAGTGGGTTGTTATAAAAAAAAAGAAGAATCCACCTCCGACCCTTTTCGTGCCAGGACCAGCGGCAACCTTGATAGCCTTGCCCTGCTGTGCCGTCTCTCTCTCGCTCTTTCTCTCTCCAAAACTGGAAAAACAGGGGCTGCAATTTTAATCACTCCATCCGTGTTTATTTGTGTAATTTAGAGCACGGATGCAGCTTCCTCCCATCTGTCCTGGCCATCTGCTCCATTCGTCCCGACGGCCTTGGAGGGACGTGGCGCATGTGCAGACAGGGAGGCCTGCCACCCATCCAAGGGGCACTGGCCGCCCAAGGCACTCTTCCTCTCCCCAAACGGGTGGCTTCCGAGCCAGAGGGGCGGCAGATCCGCTCCAGGTTGTGCCTCAGCTCTCAGAGAACTTCCCAAGGTGCCAGATTGACTGATAATTGACTTATTGATAATGATGGTTGCCCACACATGCTTCCTTGCCAGGTCTCCTCCTGGAAGTCCAGTAGACTCTCCATTAACCGACACCCATGTGGATTGGATAAAGGATGTTTCTGGTTGCTTGAGAGTTCCCATTAGAAATAGGCCTAATTGATACTATGCTCTATATTAGACCACCCCATACTAGACCCCATACTAGGCCATGCTATACCCCATACTAGATTGTACTATACCCCATAAACTCTGTATTGATTTCACTGGTTGATTGGGAGATGTCAGATCAAAGTTACTTGAGAGTTCCTATTAAAAATAGGCCTAACTCATACCAGGCCCGTAGCCAGGATTTTGATTAGGGGGGTGGGGTGGGGTGGGGGGCTGAGTTTGATTCGGGGGGGGGGGGTGAGGATCTACCCTAGCAAACCTTTTGTATCATTATCCCAATACCCCCATGCATATGGGATATATTGAGCATGGTGATCAGATCATGATATGAATAAACATAACAGTTTAAATAATGTACCAGTAAGGCCTTCTCGAGGACCACTGTGAGAATTTGGGGGGGGGCTGAAGCCCCTCAAGCCCCCCCCCCCCCCCGGCTACGTGCCTGACTCATACTATACCCCACACTAGACCACCCCATACTAGACCATATTATACCCCATATTGTACTACCCCATACTACACCCCATACTAGACCATACTATACCCCATACTAGCCCATCCCATCCCATGAACTTTGTATTGACTTCACTAGTAAATGACAGATCAATGTTGTTTCTGGATGCTTGAGGGTTCCCAATAAAAATATGCCTAACTAATACTAGACCCCATACTAGACTATACTAGATCATACTAGACCATCCCATCCCATAAACCTTGTATTGACTTCACTGGTCGATTGGTAGATGCCACATTAATGTCGTTTCTGGTTTCTTGAGAGTTCCCATTAAAGTTATGCCTAACTAATACTATACCCCATACTAGACACCATACTAAACCACCCCATACTAGAATATGCTAGACCATACTATACCCCATACTAGACCATCCCATCCCATGAACTTTGAATTGACTTCACTGGTTGATTGGTAGATGACAGATCAATGTCATTTCTGGTTGCTTGGGAATTCCCATTAAAAGAATACCTAACTAATACTATAGTCCATTCTAGACCATACTAGACCCCATACTAGATCACCCCATACTAGACCATCCTAGTCCCCATACTAGACTATCCCATCCTATATCCCATAAACTCTGTATTGATTTCACTAGTTGATTGGTCAGTGCCAGATCAGTGTCATTTCTGGTTGCTTGGGGTTTCCCATTAAAAATATGCCTAACTAATACTATGCCCCATACTAGACCATACTATATCCCATACTTAGACCACCCCATCCCATAAACTCTGTATTGACTTTACTAATCGATTGATAGATGCCAGATCAAAGTCGTTTCTGGTTGCTTGAGAGTTCCTATCAAAAACTGACTTAATACTATACCCCAGACAAGACCAGGCCATAATCCATGGATTGATTTGATATTGAAATACAGTAATTAAAAGCCAATTAAGACAAAGAGAGCCTAATATTATGTAACACAGTTTTACTGAATAATAATAATAATAATAATAATAATAATAATAATAATAATAGAGGCAGAAGGCAAAGGGGAAAATCTCAAGGCAGGTGTACTGAAGGAGTCCACACTCCATGAAGTGAAAGGTCCATTTTGGGTCTCTGTCCAGAGAGGAAAGCGAGATGCAAATATTAATGATGATGAAATAATAATAATAATAATAATAATAGAAGCAGTAGGCAAAGATGGGTCGATAGAGTTTGGTGGAGTCTCCTTCTCTGGGGGTTTTAAGCAGAGGCTAGATGGCCATCAGTCAGAAGTGCTTTGATTGTGCTTTCCCTGCATGGCAGAATTGGATTGGCCTGGATGGCCTTTAGGGGTCCCTTCCAGCTTTATGATTCTATAATAATAATAATAATACCAAAGGGTTGGACTGGGTGGCCTTTGGATTCCCTTCCAACTTTATGATTCTGTTATCATCATCATCATCATCATCATTATTGCGGCATGGGGTGGGCTGGATGGTCTTTGGGGTGCCTTCCAGCTTTGTGATTCTATTACTATTATTATTAGGACAGGGGGTTGGATTGGATGGCCAATTCTTCCCTCGGTCTATCATTCCATCAACCAAGACAGAGGTCCTTTCCTTTTCAAGTGGAAGCCCCACATCATCACCATCACTATCATCATTTTAAATGGACAGAACTTCATCTTTGCTTTCCCTGCCCTTTGGAGAACTACAACTCCCAGCCCAATGCATCCCACCTTCCACCTGATTCCCATCCCATTGCAATGGAGGAATCCCCACTCCATTATTATTATTATTATTATTATTATTATTATTATTATAAATAGACCTTGCTCCTTGCTTTCCCTGCCCTTTGGAGAACTACAACTCCCAGCCCAACGCATCCCACCTTCCACCTGATTCCCATCCCATTGCAATGGAGGAATCCCCACTCCATTATTATTATTAATATTATAAATTGTCAGACCTTCCTCCTTGCTTTCCCTGCCCTTTGGAGAACTACAACTCCCAGCCCAATGCATCCCACCTTCCACCTGATTCCCATCCTATTGCAATGGAGGAATCCCACTCCATTATTATTATTATTATTATTATTATTATTATTATTATTATAAATTGACAGACCTTCCTCCTTGCTTTCCCTGCCCTTTGGAGAACTACAACTCCCAGCCCAAAGCATCCCCCCTTCCACTTGATTCCCATCCCATTGCAATGGAGGAATCCCTACCGCATTAATAATAATAATAATAATAATAATAATAATAATTATTATTATTATTATTATTATTATTATTATTATAAATGGACAGACCTTCCTCCTTGCTTTCCCTGCCCTTGGGAGAACTACAACTCCCAGTCAATGCATCCCACCTTCCACCTGATTCCCATCCCATTGCAATGGAGGAATCCCTGGTTATTTCCAAGGGGAAGCAAGGACCCCCAGCCTTTGCAGGGCATCCCTTTGCATTGGGAAGCAGCTTTGCTTTTCCTCCCTCTCCCTCCCTCCTTCGGCTTAGCAAAAAAGGAGAAGGGGGGGGGGGTTCCACTCTCCCGCTCCCGTTTTGCATTTCCAAGCGTGGACCCCCCCCCCCCTCCCCTCTCTTCCTCTCTCCTTTTTTTGCTAAGCCGAAGGAGGGAGGGAGGGATAAAGGGAGGGAAGTGGGCAGCGCCTGTCTCCTTGGGATGGAGCAGTGAGGGATGCCAAGGCAGAGGCAGGAGTAGCTGGACTCAGAGGAGGAGGAGGAGGAGACCCTCGTTGGCAAGAAGGGAGCCTTGCCCCCCTCTCCCCAAAAGCCCAGCCTTTCCAACAGCCCTCCCCCTCTACACCAGGTAGGACCCCATCCCCTCTACATTGGAAGATGCCCAAAGATAAGGGCGAAGAGGGGCGTGTGAGGGCAAGGCAAGGGAGGAGGAGGAGGAGGGGGGTCTTCCTCATTGGGATTGATTATTGACTCCCAATACTGTTGATACTTGGAGGGAGCAAGTGGGAGGGCCTCTGACTCTCTTTTGGGGTGATAGGGATGGTTGTATCTCCTTTGGGGGGATATGGATGGGTGGATCCCCAATATATGATCATTGGGAGCAATTGGGAGAGTGTTTTTCCTCTTTTGGGGGGAATATGAATGGATCAATTGATCCCCAATAGATGCTCAGAGGGAGTAATTAGGAGGGGTACAGATGGATCCCCAATATAAAACTATTGGTATTGGTGAAGCTTAGAGGGAGCAAGTAGGAGTGTCTTTCTCTTTTGGGGTGCTCCTTTCACTCTTTGGGGGGAAGGTTGATAGACTGATCGATCCCCAATATAGAGATATTGGTATTGGTGATGCTTAGAGGGAGCAAGTAGGAGTGCCTTTCTCTTTTGGGGTGCTTCTTTCGCTCTTTGGGGGGAAGGTTGATAGACTGATCGATCCCCAATATAGAGATATTGGTATTGGTGATGCTTAGAGGGAGCAAGTAGGAGTGCCTTTCTCTTTTGGGGTGCTTCTTTCGCTCTTTGGGGGGAAGGTTGATAGACTGATCGATCCCCAATATAGAGATATTGGTATTGGTGATGCTTAGAGGGTGCAAGTAGGAGTGCCTTTCTCTTTTGGGGTGCTTCTTTCGCTCTTTGGGGGGAAGGTTGATAGACTGATCGATCCCCAATATAGAGATATTGGTATTGGTGATGCTTAGAGGGAGCAAGTAGGAGTGCCTTTCTCTTTTGGGGTGCTTCTTTCGCTCTTTGGGGGGAAGGTTGATAGACTGATCGATCCCCAATATAGAGATATTGGTATTGGTGATGCTTAGAGGGAGCAAGTAGGAGTGCCTTTCTCTTTTGGGGTGCTTCTTTCGCTCTTTGGGGGGAAGGTTGATAGACTGATCGATCCCCAATATAGAGATATTGGTATTGGTGATGCTTAGAGGGTGCAAGTAGGAGTGCCTTTCTCTTTTGGGGTGCTTCTTTCGCTCTTTGGGGGGAAGGTTGATAGACTGATCGATCCCCAATATAGAGATATTGGTATTGGTGATGCTTAGAGGGAGCAAGTAGGAGTGCCTTTCTCTTTTGGGGTGCTTCTTTCGCTCTTTGGGGGGAAGGTTGATAGACTGATCGATCCCCAATATAGAGATATTGGTATTGGTGATGCTTAGAGGGAGCAAGTAGGAGTGCCTTTCTCTTTTGGGGTGCTTCTTTCGCTCTTTGGGGGGAAGGTTGATAGACTGATCGATCCCCAATATAGAGATATTGGTATTGGTGATGCTTAGAGGGAGCAAGTAGGAGTGCCTTTCTCTTTTGGGGTGCTTCTTTCGCTCTTTGGGGGGAAGGTTGATAGACTGATTGATCCCCAATATAGAGATATTGGTATTGGTGATGCTTAGAGGGAGCAAGTAGGAGTGCCTTTCTCTTTTGGGGTGCTTCTTTCGCTCTTTGGGGGGAAGGTTGATAGACTGATCGATCCCCAATATAGAGATATTGGTATTGGTGATGCTTAGAGGGAGCAAGTAGGAGTGCCTTTCTCTTTTGGGGTGCTTCTTTCGCTCTTTGGGGGGAAGGTTGATAGACTGATCGATCCCCAATATAGAGATATTGGTATTGGTGATGCTTAGAGGGAGCAAGTAGGAGTGCCTTTCTCTTTTGGGGTGCTTCTTTCGCTCTTTGGGGGGAAGGTTGATAGACTGATCGATCCCCAATATAGAGATATTGGTATTGGTGAAGCTTAGAGGGAGCAAGTAGGAGAGTGCATTTCTTTTTTGGGGTGCTGCTTTCACTTTTTGGGGGGAGATTGATAGACTGATTGATCCCCAATATTATTTAAGTGCAGGCCAAGGTCTTTAGGCACTGCACCCAGAGCAACACTTCTGTCTAAAAGTATCACCTATTGGTATTGGTGATACTTAGAGGGAAAATGAGGGAAAATATCTCTCTTTTTGGATGATATTGATTGATCGATCGATTGATCAGTTGATGGATTGAGCCCCAATACAGATGTTCAAGGGGAGCAGGTGGGAGGTTACCTTTTTCTTAATTTATTTATTTACAGTATTTGTGTACCACTTTTCTCATCCCGAGAGGAATATATTGATTGGTTACTCAATTGATCCCCAATACAGAGGTACTGGCATTGGCAATGTTTTTGGGGAGCAGGTGAGAGAGTGTATCTTTCTTTAGGGAAATTGATTGATCCCCAATACAAAAGTATTGGTCTTGATTATGATCAAGGGGAGTAGTAGGAGGAAGGCTGTCTCTCCATTTGGAAAGATATGGACTAATTATTGATTGATTGCCAATATAGAGACATTGGTAATGCATAGTGGAAATATAGCTTTCTCTTTTGGGGAGAGGTATGGGTTGATTGATCGATCCCCAATACAGAGGCATTGGTAATGTTTATGGGGAGCAGGTGAGAGAGTGTATCTCTCTTCAAGAAAATTGATTGATCCCTAATACAGAAGTATTGGTAGTGATGATGCTCAATGGGAGTAGGAGGGATGGTGTCTCTCCATTTGGGAGGATATGGATTAATTATGGATTGATACCCAATATAGAGAGATTGGTAATGCATAGTGGTAATATATCTTTTTCTTTTGGGGAGAGGTATGGCTTGATTGATCGAACCCCAATACAAAGGCATGGGTGTTAGTGATGCCCAATGGGGATGCCAGAGCAACTCTCATCCTTTTGGAACTTGCCCATTTTGCCTATTGCCAAAAGGTCCTGTTTGCACCTTTGGGGAAATAGGGTTACAAAGATTTAGAAAGTGGGGAACTGTGGTTGCAAACCCTACAAAAAATTTTGATACAAAATCCAGCATATAGATCTTGTTTGCTGTGACATACTATGCTTTTGTGTCATAATAATAATAATAATAATAATAATAATAGCAGGAGTACTAAGCATGTATGTGTCAGTAGGTAAAATTACGCAGATAAAACAAAGGGCCATAAAATACCTATCTTAAAAACACTGAACAATGATAAAAATGCCAATACTTGTAAAATGCAAATTATTTAAAAATTCATAGTTTGAAATAGACTAGATAGAACCACCAGAAACCCTAACTGCATATTCCGAGAGTGAAAAAGCAAAATAGTCCAAATTGCACATTTGGGGGGAATGCATAATAGTTTTGATTGCACATCTTGGGGGGAAATGCCAACGAGTCCTAATTGCATATTTTGGGGGGAAATGCAAAAGAGTCCAGATTGTACATTTGGGGGGAATGCAAAATCCCAGTAGTTCACATTGCAAATTGGGATGAAGGTGTGCAAAATAGTTCTAATTGTACATCCTGGGGGAAAATACAAAAGCATCCAAATTGCAAAATGGTGTCGCTTGCAAGTCAAGGTGGATCGGGCTCCCTTAGCTCGCCACTTGGCAGAGAGAGAGCTTTGCTTCCAGCTGCGGGGAAGCCTTGCCCGGCTGATGGGGAAACCCTTGTGCAAACGAAGGGGAGAGAAGGGGAGCCCCTGCCCCAGAGCCACCCTTGGGACTAAGGAAAGATGGAGGGCACAAGGAGGAGGCAGGCTGGGTTCTTTTCTCAACCTCACCTTGGTTCTTTAGTATCTTATCATTTGCAATGGCATCTGATAGAGAAAAGATGGGGCCTGAGATGGGGAAAGCTGGGGTTTTCTGTCCTTTTAAAAAGTGCCAAGACCCCCTCTCATATATCTAATGAGGAGAAGGGTGAATGAGGTCAGCAGCCACCCCTTTGCAGTGGGTTTTGCAGGTGCAACACATGGAAGAAAACTAATAATAATAATAATAATAATAATAATAATAATAATAATAATAATTGTCGTGTCAGGAGCGACTTGAGAAACTGCAAGTCGCTTCTGGTGTGAGAGAATTGGCCATCTGCAAGGACATCGCCCAGGGGACACCCAGATGATTTGATGTTTTTATCATCCTTGTGGGAGGCTTCTCTCAAGTCCCCGCATGAGGAGCTGGAGTTGATAGAGGGAGCTCATCCGCCTCTCCTCGGATTCGAACCTGTGATCTGTCGGTTTTCAGTCCTGCCGGCACAGGGGTTTAACCCACTGCGCCACCAGGGGTTCCAATAATAATAATAATAATAATAATAATAATAATAATAATAATAATAATATCAATAATAATATCAATAAGAATATCCCACTTTCCTTTCTTAAATGAGACTTCAAAGATATAAAGATGATGATGATGATGATGATGATGATGATGATGATGATGATGATGATGATGGTGATGATGGTGATGATTATGATAGCAGCAAAGAGGAAGATCTCAAGATGGATGGAAGGTCTCCATCCAGAAGTCATTTCTTGCCAACGGAAGAGCCATTTCATTATGAATATCCAAGGAAGCCTTCTTCCTGGGTCTGTCCTTTGAAAGAGGAGGAGGATTACAACTCCCTTCCCATCTGCTCAATGCATTGGCTTCCATTTCCATTGTCCCTCTGATTTTCATTCCAGTTCCCATCACCTTCATTGAGTTGTGGGGCAGAGAAGCAGATGAGGAACATGGAAGTAGAGGGAACTGGACCCATAGAAAAGTGGGGCACAGACAATTCTAGGGCCCTTCCACACAGCCATATAACCTGGAATATCAAGGCAGAAAATCCCACAATATCTACTTTGAACTGGGTTATCTAAGTCCACACTGCCATATATTCCAGCTCAAAGTAGAAAATGTGGGGTTTTATTCAGCTGTGTAAAAGGGCCCCTAGAGAAGCTGGAAAACGGAGACTGCCCATGGCCTTAGCTTGCAGAGAAGGAGGGCAGGAGAGGAGAAAGTCTAGTATTAATATAGGGATCCCCTCTCTTTCCCTGCTTTCCAGCTCATGAATGAAATATCTGATCCCAGAAATATT